ATTTTGGAGTGTGGGTTCACTAGAAAAATTTATTATCTTCTTCTGAATCAGGGCCTGATAACATTGTCAGTAATTCTTAGCACTTAGTGTTTAATCAAGCCTGGGCACCGTGTGCACATTTTCCAAGCAATAACTCACTGAATCCCTACCATGACCCTACTGAGCAGCTAATTATGATCCCTAGTTGGAAGATACAAAAAACGAGACTCTGAAAAGTTAAAGAACTCGGCCAAAGGAAAGCCAGCAATACCTAAAACTGAATCACAAATCTTTCAGACTCCAAGTCTCAAGCTCTTAAACACCATTTACAGGATGGCTTCATTATTTAACTCACAGAACAAACAAATCTACATTTAAAATATGAGCTCAAGATAGACTTTCCCAAACTATACTTGCATATTGCTATCCATTGTTTTGAACTGTAATGAACCAAACCCAGTGTACTGCCATCGAGTTGATTCCAACTCATAGTGACACTATGGGACAGAGTAGAACTGCCCCATAGAGTTTCCAAGGCTGTAATGTAAATCTTTATGGAAGCAGACTGCCTCATCTTTCTCCTGAGGAGCAGCTGGTGAGCTTGGACCATCAACCTTTTGCTTAGCACCCCAATGTTTTAACCACAGCACAACTAGAGCTCCTTGAATTGTAATAGCTAAGATTTATTGAGCATTCACTATGTGTCATGGGTTTTTATATACATCATCTTATTTAGCAATCACCTCCAAACCCTCTGAGGTTATAACAAGCATTTCATAAACAAGGAATCTGAAGCCCAAAGAACTATTAACTGGATGTGTAGTTTAGCCTTGACCTCATTTCAAATTTGTGACAAATAGGAATTTTGCAAAGATATCAAACAAACACACGAAAACACTTAAAATAAAAATTTCTTAGTATGCAAAAAGACTCCAAGGGGAAAACACACATCCATATTGTGAATATTTATCTTTAAGAAGATCCAGTTTATTTACTAAAGCAGTTCAATAATATTTTATGTTATTTCAGCATTGATGATTTTGTTTCATCCAATGATAACATTTAAATATCATTTAATTTTATTAAAGTTGTGATAAGTTTTAAGCTATTGGAACCAATTTTATTTGTTAGTACTTTTAAGATATAGGACAAGAATCTGAGAAAATGATAACCAATTGTTATGCAAGTATTTTGAGAATAATTAATATAATAGTCTAGCTAAAAACTTAACTTCAGCTGACTTTTGGGAGAAACATGGACAGTCCATGGTGAGCAGTGATAGACTTGGGCTCTGCTCAGTTCAGTTGCTGTGGCATCGCTGGCTGCCTCTCAGTCTCAACTGCAGCCTTTGCATTTATGAAAGTCAAATGGCAGCACTAAACTCCCTGTCATGTTCACACATTGCCCCTAGTCCTTTCACAGTGCATGCAATCTGATGGCTCCCTTGCTTAACTGACAAGTTATGCTTTCATGATAATTTGATTCTGTAAAGATTACATGAGTTGCTGCCTAAAGTGCTCAGAACAATGCCTGACATACCACACTAAGCACTCAACAGTGTTAGTCACTGTCATTATCACCATCAATGCAGACATCTGTTTAAGAACAATCTGTATGACATCAAACTGACAACAGCAACTGGAAAGATTAGATAGGAACCTTAGGGGCAGTGAGTTTGTGTTAATGGGGGAGAAACAACTCAAAAGGAGGGTGAGAATGGTTGCACCACTCCAAGAATGTAATCGATGTCATTGAAATGTATATAGAGAAATGGTTGGTGTATGTTTTGTTGTTTATATCCTCAACAACAAAATCAATAAAATTTAGAAACATAGACATTGTTTAAATGCCCTGTGCCATGTTTCCTCCTCTGGGTGTGGGGAGTAATGCAGGAAAGAGAGAGAAGGAAAAGGAAAGGAAGGAAAGAGCCAGAGTAGAAGAAAGAAACAGGAAAAGAGGGAAGAAGGGAGTTGGGGAGGATAAGGAAGTAGAGAAATATCAAGTGACTGAGTCTAAGGTGATAGCTTTTAAAATCAAATTTATTTGGGACATCAGAAAATTTATTTCAGAATGTTTTGGAGTAAAATTTCCTAAAAACCCAATACTGCATTATCTGTAAACAGAAGTTGAAATAAATAAAATTTAAGCAAAATCTAGTAGTAATATTCACCCTTAAAATGATATATTCCAAAATTAAGGGAAGTAGTATTTCAGCACTTGTCTGTTAGTTTGTCATACGATAGTAGCTTGTGTGTTGCTGTCATGCTAGAAGCTATGCCACTGGTATTCAAATACCAATAGGATCATCCATCATGGACAGGTTCAGTGAAGCTTCCAGACTAAGGCAGACTGAAAAAAAGGACCTAGTGATCTAGCTCTGAAAAAATGGCCAGAGAAAACCTTACGAATAGAAGCAGAACACTGTCTGATAGATGAGTCTCTCAGGTTGGAAGGCACTCAAAATGTGACGGGAAGAGTTACCTCCTCAAAATAGAGACAATCTTAATGACATGGATGGAGTAAAGCTTTTGGGACCTTCTTTTTCTGATGAGGTATGCCTCAAAATGAGAAAAAACAGTTGTAAAGATCCATTATTAATCTGAATGTAGAATGGACAAAGGATGAATCTAGGAAAACTGCAAGTCATCAAAAATGAAATGGAACACATATAGATGAATATCCTAGGCATGAATGAACTGAAATGGACTGGTATTGGCCATTTTGAATCACACAAACATAAGTCTATCATGATGGGAATGGCATCAAGGCAACAGCAACTAATGTTATAAAATGCATATAAATTGTTGAACGGAAAATTAATTTGCTCTGTAAACTTTCACTCAAACCACAATTTAGAAAAAAAAAAAGAACACACACAAACACACACACACACATCAGTCAAACCAAATGTTGTAAAACCCATAGTTGATGCAATTAACTCATATAAAATGTTCTCAGATTTTCATTCAGAGACCATTTATGAAGCATACTTTTCTAATTTCCCAGCACAATACAAATTAGAAATTGTAAGAAAACACTACCAAAAAGCACACGCACATTCCCAACAGATAGATTCATCTGGGATCATTTTATATAAAGGCAAATCGTTCAGAATACCAGAAGAAGGCACAGCTATAATTTATTATTATATCATACAATTAAGTGTGTAAATAAAATGGATATACATATGAAAACTTATTTTTGTTGTATTAAAAATTGTTTCCAAAGAAAGATGATTTATATAAACTAACACTGACCAGTAAATAGAGTTGTGTTATTTTGGTTGTTTAATGACCCAATGTATTAAAAGTGGTAAGATTCACATAATAGTAGAAATTCCCAGGGTCTCCTCCCCAGTCAGAAGGTAGAGCAGTTCTAGGCCTGGATTTCTTTGCAGCAGCAATCCGTAGCCACTAACACTGGAGGCCCCTTGGATGGAAACACCCTCTCATCAGTCCCCAGCACTCCCTAGCGTTGCTGTCTTTGACGCTAAGTATCCATCATCACTTATCATCAATCTTGAATTGTTGTTTGTCTTATAGCTAGTGGAGAATTTCCTGTGTATTCATGTCCCAAAGGTTGGACTACAAAATACAGCTAAGTGAGCCTCAGGTTTCAAGAAAAACAGTGTATTTCTCTCCTACACATTCAATGGCCTGCTTCATTCATTTACATTATCAAGCAGATAATCCTACACAGCTGAATTTGTAACCTTTATGAAAGTAGTTTGTCATTATTGGTGACAAAGAGAGACCTATCTAGATTGGTGGTTTGGGTTTTAATTGTGTTACTACTCCAAGCTCCTATTTTCAAAAACTAAGCATCTAGTCCAAAATATCCCAGCTTCATTAGAAAAATCTGTCCTCAGGATTTATGAAGGTGGTATAAAAGACGTATCCATTAAGACACGTTTCTATATCACTGGCAAATGGATAGAAGCTGTCCATCCATTACCTATGACCCATAGGAGGGTGCATTCTATAAAATACTCATTGGATTTAGTTGTAGGAAAGACTTTATGAAACTATTTGCTTTATTTTGTCAGAAAATATAAATGATGTAATCCAACATATCTCCCTCTTTATCATAGCTTCTTGGACCAAGATAAGGAAAAACTGAAAATAACTTTGCTATTATTTATCCTGTGAAACATATTCCCAAGGAAAGAATTTCTAAAAATATTAGACACTGTGTGCAAGGTATTTCATTGGTTTCATAATGTCTACGACTTGAAAGTGTTTTTGTTTTTTTGCATAAACTTGCATTCTTCATTTTTCAATTTAAGCTCATCTGACTAAGGGCCTTCAGATGCCAGCTTACCCAAAAGTGGAGGGACAAACTAGAAAAACTACACCATTACTTCTACAAAGACACATACATCTCCAGCCTCATCCTCCCATGATAGATGGCATCTTCAAAAAAATGACCACATTAATATATGTTTCCCATCCTACAGACTCCTTTGATAACATGACTGGCAAGCCCCCCACAAGAGGTGGGATTTGAGCTCCCCCCAGCCTTAAATCCAGGCAGGGGCTGGGATTTCTTACACCAATGGAGTACAGCAGAGCAGTTATCCTATGACTTCTAAGGCTGAATCATAAAAGGCAATACAGCCTTCTCCTTGCTCACTCTCTCTTTGGACACATGTCTTAGGCTCCTGAGCCAACAAGTAAAAAACACCCCCTGAGGCTTCCATGCTGGGTAGATCATGTAAAGAATCAACTTAGAGATCTAGAGAACTCTTCCAGCCTCCAGATTTTCCAGTCTTCCCAGGCCAGGCAAGTAAAGAAACCCTCAAGATGGTGCCAATTCCAACCACTATCTGCTTACAACCTCATGAATGAGCCCAAGTCAGAACTGTACAGCCAGGCCTCTCCTGCATTCTTGAGGCACAGAGTGTGAGAGATAAATGGTAACTGTTGGTTAAAGCCACTATGTCTTGGGATATTTGGTTAAGCAGCAATAGATAACTAACACATAACCAGTCAGAAAAATATACTTCATATGCTACCACTTACTTCATTGATTTCAGTCCCATCAGCATTGTTATACACAATTCGATAACCACTGATCTTCCTTGAGGTGGGGTCCCAACTTAATCGAGCACTGTTAGAGCCAACATTGGAGATTCTCAGGTTTCTTGGTGGACTTAAAGGCACTTTGCAGTAAATGGAATAGAAAAAAAGTTAAAAATTTAAATAACATATATGTAAGAAAGACAAGAAGCAACCACCTTGCCTTCTGAACTACTTACATATGAAAAATAACCAACCAGGGAATAACTTATAACCCTAAAATAACCAGTGAATTGTCTCACAAAAAATAAACAAAGTGCTCTAATAAAGAAAAAGAGATTTCTTTGTAGGGAACAAATAGTAGGAATAAGTTACACCTGCTTAAGAAAGAAAAAGATTTTGGTACATTTTCTGTGCCTTTTTTCTCCACTCAGAACTGTTGTTGTAACTTGATACAAATAGGTAAGCCGCTGGCTCAAAACCCGGACACCTGGAATCAAGTCTTAGCTATCCCACTCAACCACAGTGTGACACTGGCAAAGCCATTCTACTTCTCTGCTCCATGACTTCCCATGTGCAAATTGAGGGAGAAGCCCATTTGTCATCTCCACTTGGACATCCAGTAGGCATCTCCAACTTAACATGTCCCAACTGACTACTGAATCCATCCCCTCCTTCAATGCCCTCCTCCCTCAGTCTTTCCCTCTGAGTGAAGGGAAACTCCCTTCTTCTCATTGCTCAGGCTGAAAACCTTGGCATCATCCTGGATCCCTTCTTCTCTCACAGCCCACTTCCCACCCCTCAGTGATCCCTTCCTTGTATATTCACAATCTGATCACTTCTCTTGACCGCGCTGCTACCATCTTGGGAAGCCACTATTCCTTCGTGCCTTGAAAACCTTGCCATCGCCTCCAGCTGATGTCCCTGCTTCCATTTCTGCCCAATGCAGCTACTCTCAAGTGAACAGCCAGAGATCCTTTAAAAAATAAGGTCAGTTCACTCCTTGCACAGAACCTTCCAAATGTCTCCCCACATTCCTCAATGTAAATCACAGTCCTTACAATGGTCCATGAGGGCCTCCATACCCATCCCTCTGCCACCTTCTGACCCCTTTCTCCTACCACTCTCCCTTCACTCATACCATTCGCTGGCATCTTTTCTGGTCCTGGAACCAAGCATGTTGACACATAAGGCTTGTTACTGCTTTTGTCTCGAATGCTGTTCTCCCAAATAGCTACATGGCTCATGTCCTCACCTGTCGCAGGTGTCTGAATATATGCTACCTTCTCTGTAAGGCTTTACATGATCACCTTATTTAAGATAATTCTTCCATCGCAACATCACCTATTTTCCTTCCCACCTTATTTTTTACATTGCACATTTATTGGTTTATTATCTCTCCTCCAATATATTATAATCTCAGGAATTGGGGAATTTGGCTCAATTTTGTTCCCTGCTTTATCCCTAACATACCACGTATTCAAAAAATATATGTTGAATGAATGGGTAATTACCTGCCCTGGATAAATCATAGGATATTTGTGAAACTAATTTACAAATAAACAAACAAACATAAACACAACACTTTGGTGTTGTATTGAAATTATTTAAAGAGGTGTCGGTATTTCTACAGATTCCTAACTATCAATTTCATAGTCTTTTGGAAAAGCTTCAAGGACCCCCTTCTGATTCAATGGATTAAAAATATCAATAATCCTTGAAAGTATCACTAGCCTTTACAAATTTATAAGAATTAATGTTAACATTTATTGAGTGCTTTCCAGGAGTCTGGCACATAACAGAGATTATTTTATTAAATCCTTTCATTAATTAGACTTTAAAGATAGAATTACAATTATCACCATAATACAGATCTCCAGAAAGGTGATAACTGTAATCCTAATTTCAAAGACTAATTAATGGAAGGATTTAATGAGGCTTAGAAATATTACGTAGCTTAGCCAAGGTCACATAGTAACAGCAAAAGAGCAGTTAGAATTGAACTGAGGCAACTGATTCCAGTGTTTGTGATGTTAACCAGTGTGCTAAACTTTCTCTGTCTTTATTTCTCTCTCTCTCTCCATCCACAAAGATGCACATGCATGTGCACGTACACACACACACAAGTTCAACTAAATCCTTGTACAGCAAGCAGAGCCAAAACTATAAAGATCAGTAATGATAATTATTAGCCACAACCATGAAGCATGATGGCCAATACTTTTCATTAATTCAACACATATTGATTCTTTGATAATAAAGGGCTTGTAGGACTTAGTGACCTTGTTAATACTTAAAGGTCAGAGGGAACACGTAGAAGAAAGAAAAGCAAAATAATTAGTGTTACACACACTTACCTCTACATTTTGTGAAGCTGAGTTAAATCTGGCAATAAGTAGAACAATGTCCAGCTAGTTTCCTTTGTGCATAAAAATGTCAGTCTCAGGACAGTACCCATGACATCTTTTTTAATCAACTACTAAAGACCCAGGACTATTTTTTAGAAACATAAAAAGCAGTGAACATTCTGAGTCTAAGTCAGATGGCCAGTTGGGAAATCAAACTTCTTTCAAATCAACAGAGTCCCCAAAGTCACCAAGTCAAGAGGGATGTAAGACACTAGCCCCATTCCTTTCTTTCCTTCCTCAGCCTTGGACTCTCAGTTTTTGTTCGTCTGTTGCTTTAATCACTTTGCTCATTCTCTGAAGAGTAAGAGCAACACAGCCTCCACTAAGAAAGGATAGATGGGGCACTTCTTTCCTTATCATTAAACATGTACTAAACATGTACATGTTTAACATGTATTAAACATGTGTAACTTCCCAAGTAGAATCTTAGAGACAAAGGCACTGCAGAATGTCTACTACTCACTTCCCAGCAAACTCCAAGGGTCAAAAGCCAAAGCAAGACCCTCAAGTTTCCCTGTACTTTCTTTTGCTTCAAAAAGCCATAAACAGAGTCACGTTTTTAATGATATGTGACAAGAATTGTTAGTATGCTCCAGTAGCATTGTGTCCACATCATATTTGATGAAAAAATAAAGATGAATATATATATTTCATGAAAGAATTATGAATTCTTTACATTTATCTCAAACTAGACTTGCCAACAAAAATTATACTCAATTCAAAACAAAATTAATTATAGTAATAATCATGGTCTCAGATAAGAAGGACAGCAAAGATTTTTAGAAAAAAAGTTTGTAAATTTGATATAAATCATGGGGAAAAAGAGTGAGCCATTATACGCTAAGTGCTTTCACATATGCTACTGTATTTACTCTTATATCAACTACATGATGTAAGATTATTTTTCTTACTTTTGCAGATTCAAAACAGTTGCATACCTTGCCCATGGTCACCCAGCTAAAATACAACTGAGCTGGGATTTGAACCTGGCTACTCTGACTCAAAGCCAATACTGTTGTCCAATATTCTGCCTTAGCATTTGGATTTAGACAGAGGATTAATTATCTAGAGGAATCATCTATGAAGCTGAAGTTCAGTTCTAGTTCATACATTTACTTTACCAAAATAAGATAGGCTTTTTCTTAAGTTACAATCAGCTCTTAAGAAGGTAGTATTTCCAATTAAGAATCTCAACACTTATTGGGCTGTTGTTACAGCATTTCATCTGAATGACTCAACTACTCACATGTTGTTTCTTGTCCTGTAACCGGATCACTGGCCTCTTCTCCAAACATGGCATAAATGGTGACTGTATATTCCGTATTGGGCAGCAACCCCCGCAATTCAATATCTGTGTAGGTTTCTCCAATTCTCATCTGAAGAGAACACACTCATCAGATCATTTGCCAATGTTTATTATTAATGTTGAACAGACTGGAACTGAGTAACAGGGAGCTTTGTGGAATAAGACAAGGTGTCTCCTCACAATCTCTTCATCATAACCTTCTCAATTGCCTCATGCCGTTGTAAATTAGGAACAGATACTATGGACCCAGATAAAACTGAACATACTCTCACATGCCATTTAGGGTAACTCTTTACATCTGGACAAATGGCAACTGCAGCCTGAATAACAAGATCAAGCACATGGTACCCAAAAGAGTGCGGGTGAAATTGAATGAGAAATGTTCTCTAGAAAGAGTGTGAGCTCCAGGCCAACATGCTTGAGGCAAGCCACATGGGCCTCTGTCACCGCTTGTCTCATTCTTACCCGTGCCCTGGCTGGATGCCTGCCTGGTCTTTGTCTCAAGCCTAACTGAGCTGGACCAGCTGGGCTGCCCCATTCAACAAGGAGGCCTGTCTAGCAGACTGAAAGCCCCTTGCTGTATTCAGAAGAGACAAACTCATTTTGATGCCCAACTTGGCAGCTCACTTTTTGATTCTGGGATAACTTCACTGACCCTGGCATCAGTCAAACTAGCTAATATTCTGTGTTGTGCGAAAAGTAATAGGATAGTTTATGTTTTGAAAAGAAGAAAAAAAAAAAGTCTCTATAGATAGTCACACAATGGCTGGTGTTATTTTTAAGTTAATTTTTCAAAAAAAAAAAGAATTTGAAATATGTCAACATATATAAATGCATAGATAATAATATAATATACCCTGATGCACCTACCACTCAGAAGTAATAAATAGTCACTATTTTGCCATATTGATTTCTGATGTTCTTTTGAAAAAAGAATATATTTGGGTAACACAGATGTCCTTTCTCAATCTTTCTCCACCTTGATGTTGACGTGTAACCCACTTACCAATTTTTCTAACGTGTTGGGTACCAACTTTTTTACCTCACTCTTTCCTAGTGAGGTTGAACATCTCTCTAGCATCCTTTTTTAAGCCTCTCACCTGCCAAAATAATTCAGATAAACATGAAATCCAAAGGGGTAAAAGCTGTCTAAACTCTGGAAATAAAAGGATGTATGTGGCCAATTTTCTGTTCTTTACCTCAAATTAATCATATTTTTAGCCCTAAAGACTTCTGTCATTAAGTGGCAGGTTTCTGGCAGCTTTTCAGAACCAAGTTCCAATTCTGCCTTGTTCATCCATTCCACCTGCCTGGTCAAAGCATTTCCAAGTGTCACAGATATATTCTCCTTAATCCTTAACTGTCTACATTTTAGCAACTGCCTCTAGAAATTGAAAGTCAGAACTAAATCATTTGATGCAGTATGTGAAATAATGCAAAAAAAATTAACATATATTTATCTACATCTCAAATTAGTAAAAAATTAAAATTGTGTGTGGGGGAAAACAGTCACTCATGCAATACATATAGTGGTATAAATTATAAGAATTTTCTTTAGCCAATTGGAAATATCTAGTATAAGCTTTAATAATTTGCACAACCTTTGAAAAAAAAACTCCATTTCAAGGAATTTACCCTAATAGGCAGGTGACCATGCAATGATGCATAATTAAAAATATTCACAATGACATTATCAGTATAGCAAACCACCCAGTAACATGGAATTAATTAAACATACAATTATGATAGAAGCCAACAAGAGTACTCCACAGGCATTAAAAATGACTATATAGAAAATTGTTTAAGGACATAGAAAAATATTCACAATGAACTTAATGAAAACAGCAGGCTACAAAATAATATTATAGTAATCACCCCATTGGTTGTATTAAAATGCACTGAAGAATTGGATGGTGCCTGGTTATCATTACTGAGCATTTTCCTCAAAGATTCTATGTAAGAATCTTAAACAAAAGGGAGAAAATGCAGAACAGAATTTTAAGTTCTCATGGAATCAAGACTTTCTGGAGCCACAGAGGCTGGATGAACAACTGAAACTATTGCCCTGAGATCGTCTTTAACTCTTAAACCAAAAATAATCCCTAAAGTCTTCAAAAAATCAAGCAATAGTTTAGCTTAGCTAGTAAAAACATCTGCTTTGAGTATTCTGCTTTTTTTAAGAACTATCCATATGGCATCAAATTGACAACAGCAACTCGAAAGATCAGACAGGAACCTTAGAGGACAGTGTGTTTGTGGTAATGAGGGAGGATCGACTCAAAAAAGGAAGGTGAGGATGGCTACACAATCAAAGAACATAATCAGTGTCACTGAACGGTACTATAGAAATGGTTGAACTGATGTATGTTTTGCTGTGTATATTCTCAGAAAAACAACAAAATACATAATTCTTAAAATTTATTTTTAAAAATAAAAAAAGCTGTTAAATAAATATTACCAATGGTTATCACTAGGTGCTGGGATTGTTGTTGTTGTTATGAGCCGTCGAGTCAGACCCGACTCATAGCGACCCCTCCTTGGGTTTCCAAGGAGCTATCACTACGGAAGTAGGTTGCCAATCAAGTGTTTTTTCGGTTTGGGTTTTTTCCAATTGCTTATCTGAATTTTCTAAATTTCACATATTGAATTGTTATAGTAAAATTATGTGAAGGAAGTCAAGGACTCTAGGCTCCAGTGCACAGTGGATGGTTACCTCCTTTTCATCCCCAGCCAGACCCTCGGTGAGAGGCGCGTAGAGGATCAAGTACCCTGATGCCCCAGCCACTGCGTTCCACTTGACCCGCATACTGTTCTCTGTCACATCATAAAGTTCAAGGTCGGCAGCCATGGGTAATGCAACTGCAAGAGGAAATTTTCTTTTAAATGTTCAGCTATTTATAAATGTGCTTGTGTATTTCAAAGTATCCATGTACCAGTGTTTACAAAGTGAGCATGGTTTACTGCTCAGATAATGTTCCTACTTAAATCTGGTCACATAAATCACAAAAGGCTTGCTGGGAGGGTAAACTTGGTGAATGCTTTGAAACCAGGGACGGCCTCTTGTAGTTTTCTTAGATCCCACTACAGTGATGGACATGGTTCTCTGGGAGTCAGTCAAGGGCAGGGACACTACACCACCCATGAGAAGTACAGAATCTGGCATGTGGCAGCCATTAAAAATGCCTTTTGGGTCATTTACTCAATGACAGAATGTGTGGCTGGATGAACAAATGCGTGGATGAAACGCTGAGAATGAGTTAGAATGCTCATTGACACATTTAATCAGTAGTGGGGCATGACTAAGTCAGCATCAAACGGAAAGTGGAATAATCAAGAAATAAGTTGGGCCAGACTTGAGGGGAAGAACAATGGGATTGAGGAGGAAAAAAAAAAAAAATTCCTGAAGGCAGGGATTATATCTGAAATCTTCTTGCAAAGCTGGGGTTGTAACAATAGCCTCACAGGTTTTCACCAGGGCTAAAGCCAACAATCTACTGAGAAAGTAGACTGTGCCCAGCAGTTGTCAAGCAGTAAGCAATGGTAGCTGCTGCTGGGAATTTTTTACATTGTTGCTGTTCAACCAGAAGGCAGAGTTTTTGTTCATCTTTACATAGTGTCCAGTACACCATAGGAACTGAATTTATATTATATATTTATATTTATATATAAAATTTATATTTTAAATGACTGAATGAGTATTTGTGATGTTTTAAAATTATCTTGTCCTGTGTGTGTATGTGTTGCAATATGTGTATTATCATGAGCATGCCCAGATAAGGAAGTATTAGTATCCAGAAATTTGTCTTAATTGCAATGATAAGAATAATGAACACAGAATACCGAACATAGATGTAACATAATTTCCACAAACTGAAATTCTATTGGGTAGGAAGCTACAAAGCTCCTTGACAACTTCCATGGATAGATTTTCAAAAATCTTTAGTTATATTATGATCTTTATTTTCATGCTCCAGAAATCTACTGGGCTTTCTTGACACTTCCCTCGCTATTTAAATCTCTCTTGAGCCCACCCGCTTCTCTTTGCCTCCCTACTGCCAGTCTGGTCCTTGGCAGCACCGTCTTTACCTGGTCCTCTGCAACAGCCTCCTAACTGCTCTCATTCTACCCACTCTTGCTACCTCCCACTACGTTACATAAATGCTGATCTGGTGATCTTTCAAAAAAGGAAATCTATTTCAATGGCTTATAGGTGCCATGGAGTTGATTCTGACTCATAGTAACCCTATGAAACACAGTAGAATTCCCCATAGGGCTTTCTAGGTGTCATAGGGTTTTTGTAATCTTTAAAGTAGAGAATTGTCAGGTCTTTCTCCCATGGACCTGCTGGGAGGGTTCAAACCACCAACATTTCAGTTAGCAGCCAACCACTTAACTGTTGCATCACCAGGGCACCTTCCAAAGAAACAAAACCCACTGCCACTGAGTCTATTCTGACTCATAGCAACTCTTTAGAACAGAGCAGAACTTTCCAATAGATGAAAATCTTTACAGAAGCAGATTGCCACATCTTTCTCCCATACAGCAGCTGGTGGTTCAAACCACTAATCTTTTGGTTAGCAGTCAAATGGTTTAACCACCACACCACCAGAGCTCCTCAGAGTTCATTAGTCCTCTTAAAAGCCATCAGCATTTTACCATTACACATGGAGATAACAAAATCCTCCACATGGCCTACACCCTGCCTAACATGCCTACCTCTCCACCCTCATTGCACCACTCTCCTCTTCCCTTCACTTTCTGGAAGCCTAATCAGGTGCCCTTCTGTTAATTACTCAAGTTTGCCATGCTTCTGCTCTATGTGTTGCCTCCTTTACTTGGAAGACTCTCCATGGACCCTCCCCAAACACCCTCACACATTCTCCTGCCCCTGATTTAATTAGTTAAAACTCATCCATCATTATACACTGAGAAAATAATGAAAAAACAACAACAACAACCTCCACTTACTGAACGCTTCCTATGTTGTTAGGTGCCGTCAAATCAATTCTGACTCACAGTGACCCTATGGCCAACAGAACAAAACACTGCCCTGTCCTGTGTCATCCTCAAACCTTGCTGTACTTGAGCCCATCGTTGCCACCACTGTGTCAATCCATCTCATTGAGGGTCTTCCCCTTTTCCCTGCTATATTCTCTCACATCACTATTTGGTCTTCTTTTCAGAATACACATCAAAGACTGTAACTGTATGCGGCCCCATTATACACTACCATGCATGCTGGAGCAGTGTCCTCACTCCTCTCCATTATGATGGAATGTGCAAAGTCAGGGTTCGGTACCAAAATGCACAAACTCCAGTTAACACGGTGCCGTGACAAGTGAGGACCACCTGGATTTATTTTTTTTGACTTTTGTAACATTCATTTTCCACTTGGCAATGGGATACATGTGTAACTAGCACAGTGCTTGGCTCATAATAGGTTTTTACTACATATTCATTTAATAAATGAATATACTTTGAACCTTTTGCCACAGATGTTGCTCTCTCCTAATCTTGTCAGAGTTTTCTAACTCCCTCTCAAGACGTAGCACCTTAAAATGTCTGCCATAGCACAGACCCAGTACTATGTAGGGCATGACAACTATTTTCTATTAATTTGATTCAGTATGCCTATCAATGCTGCCCACACAGAATTCCAACTTAAAGGAAAAAGGTCACCTAGGCCATGCCACACAAAAGTGGAAGTGGGATAGAATACATACGTGTAGTTTCTCTTCCACGGAGGCCTTCACTAGCGGTGTGGGGATATATTGCGAAGACCGCTATCTGATATTCAGTCAAAGACATCAAGTTTTTCAACACCGTGGAAGATACACTACCATCCACCACCACCTGTTTAAAGAATAAGAGTTCAAAGAATGAGAGCATGGAATTTTATACTTGCAGTATTGAAATCAAGAAGTAAAAATATCTGGAACAAGAACCTTTTATTAAATATTTTCTTATTTGTGCTACATCCTCTTTACTACATGGTGCCATGGTGGTCAATTCTCCTTGAATTCCCACATGAAGTGGCGCTCCTATTATGGAAAGTGTCCAAAAGTCCCTTATTAATACTTATCTAATGGAAATTGTGCCATTCGTGAGTCAATTATTACCCTATTCACATCCACTTAATAGTAGATACGTGATTTTGTTCCATGGAGCTTTGGAAAGCAGTTTAAAGATTTATTAGTCATGAAAAGATAGAACCATTGGAAGCACTCTGTTTTTTTGTTTTTCAGTCCAGATGATTTAAAATTCTATGATCTACTTGTCTAACACTTTCAAAAAAACATAAATCATGCCATAATACAGGAAAAGTTGTGAAACACACTGAGGTCAATCAGAGGTTAGAACAATAAAAAGAAAGGGAAATGTCATCATGTTTTATCATAGTTCCTCTGAATTTCTGTATCAAAGGTAGGAAACAAGAGTGATCCAGTCATCTGGCAACAAGCATCCTCATGTAGGTTGGCCAACTCATGAGCAAGGCCAGCCACAGCTGCCTTATCGTGGCTGCTCCATCGCACTGTTGCCCACAAATGTTCAAGAAACTCCAAACCCTGGAGGACTAGATTACGTGATCACATAATTTGAAAAACACAGACTTTATTAAGGCAGAAATCCCAGAGTATACCAAAGAAAAGGGAATGTATGAACAGCAAAAGAGAGTCCTGGTCAGTTAAAAATCATTAATTTAAAAAGTGAAAAAAAGAAACGGAGACCTGGACCAATTTTGAGGGAATCTGATGGACAGGTAAGAAGAAAAGGTGTAAAGACACAGCCCGAGAGACAGGAGAACAGCAGACCCACAGAAACGCTTCTGGCAGAATAACCTTTTTGTATGTAAATGACTCTCTTGTTCTCACTATTCCAGAAGACTTGAGAGAATGAAAAGAACTGCTTAAAAATATTGTCTCCTTATTACTGTGTCTAAGGAGACCTGGTGGTACAGTGGTTAAAGCACTCGGTTGCTAAGTGAAAAGTTGGCAGTTCAAACCGACCAGCTGTTCCATGGGAGAAAGATGTGGCAGTCTGATGACATAAAGATTACAGCCTTCAAAACCCTATGAGGCAGTTCTACTCTGCCTTACAGGGTCACTTTCATAGATTAAATTGTGTCCCCAAAAAATATATGTTAACTTGGCTAGGTTATAATTCCCAGAATTGTGTGATTATCCTCCATTTTGTGACATCATTTAATTATCCGGTTTTGTCATCTGAATTAATTATCTTCCATCTTGTGACCTAATTATCCTATGTGTTATAAACCCTAACCTCTATAATGCTTATGAGGCAAATTAGAGGCGGGTTTCTTAATGAGAGGATACACTCTATAGGATTAGGTTGTATCTGGAGTCAATGTCTTTTGAGATATGAAAGAGATTAAAGAAGCGAGCAGAATCAGGGTCCCTCAGTACCATCAAAAAAGAAAAGCCAGGAGCAGAGTACATCCTTTGGATACAGGGTCCCTGCCCTGAGAACCTCCCAGACCCAAGGGAAGACTGATGAAGACACATGGAAATCTCCAAGGAACTCGGGCACCATCGATGTTGAAAGGAAACAAGGACCTTCCCCAGAGCTAACGGAGACAGAAACCTCCATCTGGAGTTGGTGCTCTGAATTCCGACTTCTAGCCTCATAAACTGTAAGAGAATGAATTTCTCTGTGTTAAAGCCATCCCCTGTGGTATTTCTGTGAAAGCAGCACGAGATCACTGAGACAGGCACTATGAGGCAGAAACAACTTGACAGCAACAGGCATTACCTCGTCTGGTTTTCCACCCCTGGTCGGATAGTACACTACTCTGTATTTTTCCACGTTTCCTGGGGCATGAGTCCAGTTAACCACAAAGCTTCTGGCAGTGACTTCAGAAGTAATCAGCTCCATAGGTGGCCCAACGGTGGCAAGGGCTGAGGCTAAATAAAAAATAAACAAATAGAATAATCCTCTTCCCCAAAGTTATTCTTGAATCTAGGAAATCCCATCAGTCAGAAGTGACTACTGACATTGTGCTGCTTCTAAGACTGTTATCTCTAGATAAGTTGACTTATTACTAGAATGACTTCTTCCTCAACAAGTTGTTCATTCTTGCATTTGTTCATTCAAACCACTAAGTGTCTGTTAGATACCTGGTAATATGCTAGGTTCCAAGGATACAAACTTAAATAAAACATAATCTCTGATGCAAGAAAATTCCATAGATGAAGATATTGCTATAGTACAATGTAATCCAACATTAATTATGTACATTATATATAAAGGTATGCTTATAGGCTATTTATATCATTTAATTCCCAATATTACTATAATTGTCCCCATTTTCTTGGTGAGAAAACCAAGGCATAATGAAGTTAAGCAGCAGAGCTAAGATTGATGTCCAGGCACATCTTGACAACAGAGCCTGTGTTTTTAAGCATCAGAGGACAACCTCTATAGTGAAGACATCAATACAACAAATCGCCAATAAGTGAAAAAAAGAACTGATATATTGAATGTCTGCTATGAGTTAGATACTACATAAGCACTTCGTGTGTGTCACATACATGTTAAAGCAAATGACTCCATGAAGATTTGAGACAGATGGACATCTGAGATGAAATAAAATGTATGTACATAAATAATTCCCAAAAGATATCTGACAAAAGAGCAAAGCAATTCAATGGAGAAAACACAGTCTTTTCAACAAATGGAAACAGAGCAAGTGGCCATCCATAGGCAAGATACAAACCTTGAACTAAACTTCAAAGCTTCTACAAAAATTAACTCAAAATGGATCATGGATGACATGTAAAACATGAAACTATGAAACATTTAGAAAAAACATCAGAGAAAACTGTCAACATGTGGGGCCAGGCAAAGAGTTCTTAGACATGGCACCAGAAACATTATCTATAAAATAAAAAAATCATAAGTCAGACTTCATCAAAATTTTTAAATTTTGTCCTACTTAAATCTTAATAGGATGAAAAAACAAACTACAGACTGGGAGAAAATATCTGCAAATCACATATCCAACAAAATATTAGTATCTGGGGGATGAATTTAAAAAAAAAAAAAAACTCAACAGTAAAAAGAAAAACAAGGAAACAATAGCAAAAACCCAAATGGAAGTGAACATTCCACCAAAGAAGATATACACATAGCAATTAAACACATGAAAAAAAGTTAAACATCATTAGCCACCAGGAAATGCAAATTAAACCACAGTGTGATACCACCACCTATCAGAATAGCTAAAACAAAAAAGACTAACAATAGTAAATGTTGGCAAGGATGCATAGAAACTGGATGACTCATCCATTGCTGGTGGAATTGTCAAATAATACAGCCAATCTGGACAACAGTTTGGAAGCTTCCTAAGAAACTAAACATGCAACTTTCATATGATGCAACAATTCCACTTCTGAGTCCCTTCCTGAGAAACAGGACCAAAAAAAACTCATACCAAAACTTGTGTACAGATGTTCATAGCAGCTTTCTTTCCAAATAGGATACAACCCAGATGTTCTTCAAGGGTTGAATGGTTAAATAAATTGTGGTATATTCATACTCAAGAATACTACATAGCAATAAAAAGGAATGACACAAAAACTTGGATGAGTTTCTAGGAAATTATCCTGAAATTAAAAAGCCAATCTCAAAAGATTACAAATTGCATGATTCCATGTATGTATGTGACATTTTTGAAATGAAAGAATGATAGAAATGGAGAACACATTAATGGTCATCAGGGGTTAAGAAGAGAGCAGTAAGAGCAAAGTGCTTGTGATGTATGGTATTTGCCTATGGAGGGCTACAACAAGATTCTGCCAGTGGTGGCAATGTGCTGTCTCTTGACTGTATCAGTTCAATATCCTGGTTGTGATACTGTAGTACCATAGTTTTGCATGATGCCACCATTGGGGGAAGCAGGTTAAAGTATAGACAGTATCTCTCTATATTATCTCTGGTATATGTATGTGAGTCTACAGTGAACTCAATATTAAAAGTTTAATTTAAAAAAAAAAAAAGATGCTCTAAATGTAACATCACAGAGAAAATCATCTGATGTTTCCCTCTCACCCACAAAGCCTGCCCATATACTGCATTTTCTATAGTGATGATCAGGTGTTAGGGGACTGAAAGATTCGATTCAGAAGGCAACATGAAAAACACCAAAAACTTCCATAACCATGAGAGACTTCTGTGCAGGTGCTATCTCCCTCCACCAAACCAGCACTCTGTGTTATGGGTTTTACCTTTCATTTCCTTGTCCTGTTCTTCTACTCTGGAGCAGACAGTCCTGGTCAAGCTCTCCACAACAGTGTGCATCAGGTCAAATTCAGCAACGTTGTACACATGAGTGCTGTCAGGCTCAGAGGCAATCTCCTGCAGCTCACTCAAGTCTGCGTTCTTCACCCCTTGCATTCAAGACAAGAGGACAGAGCTCATGATGTTCACGCTCCATTCGAAGGGCACCTGCATGGGCCTGACCTGACCCAAGCCAGCCAGCCTCCACTAAAGTGTCAGGTTGGATCATTTCATAAAAGCCTCCTTCAAAATCATTTTAGGATTAGATCTTAATTTTTGTTTAGTACATCCTGACAGGAAGATGGCTTTTAAAACCAACTCCTAACTGTCATAATTATTGCAGAAGCAATAGTTACCATTAAACCAGTAATCTAAACTATAAAAGCTTCAGTTTTAAATTTCTGTAAAATAAGTTTACTTAAGTTGAGATACACCTAGGAAAAAATATATAAAATATGTTTACTTAAACTGAGAAACTTTTAGGAAAATAAAATATGTACTTCCTTA